GGTTTTATTTATACTTTTACACGCGCATTTTCGGACTGCGGTGGAATGATAGCATTCTTCTTATATCCTTTGACCTCACAGTCTACCGTACGTAAATAAAATGTCATTTTCATTTTGTTTTATGTAAAAGGTAAGCATTACTTTTAGAAAATCCAGTTAATTAATACTGAAATTTACTAATAAACTTTGAAACTCATATCTACGATAACTATTGGATTTTAAACAGAATTTTAAATTTGTCGTTTTTTTTTTTTCGTATACAATGGCGAATCAATAAGTCGATGAGTGACAATAAACGTGCCAATGCTTCAAAAATGTCTAAAAATTTTATTTATATAAGAAAATTAATTTCTTTGTACCTTTAGGTCATTATCTTTCAAATAGAACCGAAATTTAAGTTCAAAGAAGCCATTGAAATTAATTAAAATGCTGGTTTTGTTCTTTTTTAGAAAGTCCGCGGCTATGCCTAGTTTATTGAATATAAATATAAACATTTGTCTCTATCTTTCTGTCACTTGTTCGTTAGCTAAAAATATAAAATATTATATGGGCGCCTTCAGTCAATCTTCAAGGCTCAATAAACAAAAAAGCTATTAATTCAAGTGCTGACAAAGTAACCGCCCTCCTCCCACGCAGATATTGCATTTTTATATATGGTAAATATTCTGACGAGCTCCGTTCTTTAGTTACACCAGTTCGGATATTTATAGCTAAGGACCGCAATGTTTCATCTACAGAGTCGAGTCACCGTCATTTGCTTCGTGTTTCTTTTGTAAAAATAAAAGACTTTCAACTCAGACGTCTTCTTCCTAAGAACCGCTACTTTGTGGAAGAAACTCCCATGTGGATGCTTCCCTGAACACTACAATTTTAACCTCTTCAAATCCAGAGTTAATAGTTATCTATCCTCCTTATCCTCATAATCTTCACTTCTTACTCTCTCCTCTTAAGTCCATGTCACACAATTAATTCAGTAGTCCTCTACCTTGATTGGCTCTTAGGCTTTGTATTAGCTGAACATTAGTAAAATACTTGCCTGGTGCCTTTTTGTTATTATACTATACAGGACTTGGCAATTTAAAACCTCTACAAACTATTTTTAATGATATTCATTTGCAAACGTGAAGAACAAAAACTGAAATAAATGACTAACAAGAGGGAAGAGTCTGATTGTTACCCATTTAATATAGTGACATGTTTCATTTGTTGCGAATAGGGTTTCGCTCAGGTTTTCGACTGAATCTTTCAAACAGAATTTTATAAGAATGATGGATAGAAGGAAAATAAATGATTAAATTATTGAGAATAGTCGACACAAATTTAAAAAATGTCTGTTCTATAAACAGTTTTACATGGATTAAATTGTCTTTGCTTGTTAACACTGTATAATTCCTTGTGCCAATCTTAGCCACAAAGCAAAGACTAAGCTCCTTTTTATTGATGTTTTATTAAAAGCAGATGCATTCAGTCTTTTAACACCGGAGAATTAGACAATATAATAAACATAGAATACATAAGTAGAATATTGCTACAAGCAAAGACACAATTCCAATAAATTCAAAATATAATACAAATATGTACATACCACTTTTGGTATGTGAACTAAGAGAGTGGTTTATTTTCTAATGTCTCTGGGGTTATTGTACAGGATTCTTAATTAAAAGGCGAGAGAATCGTAATTCTCACATGTTGCTGAATGCGCTGGAAGAGCTGTACATAGAAGTGATGCATTATGGGAATTCACGAGTACACAGATGACTCCCAAGGGCAGTTAACATTGTGAAGGGCCGATAACTATGCCTGCAGCTATATTTCTAATAATTAATATCTTAGTAGTTTATCTGTAATTTTGAGCTCTTGTTATTGATTTTTTTTTTATTTTGTTATACGTCCCAAAGTTATACATTGAGATTAATAGTCTACTGTTGTTCTCCTAATAAGAACTGATCGTTAAAATGGGAATATTCAAACTCTATTTTTTTTTAAAAAGATCCAAATTTGATTTCATACCAGCTTAGTTCATTATTTTATACTAATATCAGACAAGATATTTATTTTATTTTATAGTCGACTGCGCATCAGTGTCAACCATGTTTTTGTCTTAATCTTCTTCCTATAAGTATATACGAAATTGTTGGAATTTTCAGCCTCGTTTCAGACATGCTAACATGTACATATTGAGTGTTATAAAGGTCAATAGTGACGTGTACATAAATAGAATAAATAAATAATTTAAAAAAAAACAAACAAAAAAACAGGAAATATCCTTAGAAACAAAGAAAAGCGTACTGAACCGCTATGTAATATCAATCTTCCTATAGGGCAGTGAATGCTGGACTCATTGGTGAAGAGGAGAGTTGATGCAACAGAAATTTGGGTCTATAGAAGGACGATAAGATTGTCATAGGTAGAACGGACGACGGAAAACGTGATAAAGAAATCCAAAGGCGCATTAGTATAGCGAAAGATACCTTCCAAAAGCTAAGTGATATATTAAGAAATAGGAAAATCTCGTTGGAAACAAAGCTAACTATTGAACTACTATATAATAATCAATCCTGCTATATGATATGTGAATATTGGACAATTTCGTCACAAAAGAAGAAAAGACTTGATTCCACAGAATTGATAGTTTTACAGACAGATTCTGGTAATACCATAGACAGAATATTTGAACAACGAGGAAATATAAAGAAAATGGGAACAAAAATGAACACTTGTACTTAGAATCAGAAAGAGAATGTTGAAATTTCTAGGGCACATAATAAGAAAAGGGAACTTGGTAAATTTAACACTCACAGCATATTTTAAATGTAAGAAGAGTAGAGGAAAACAGCGAGTAAGCAATCTAATGAGCTTGTGTAAATGGATGACAGAATAGGGACTGGGACGGATAATACGGGGACAGACTTTATTTGGCGTTACAAAGGATGGGAAGTTGTGGAGGACCATGATCGGTTACAGCCTAAAGACACACGGCACAAAAAGTAAAAATATATGTAATATTCTTTAAAAAATAACCGACGTCAGATCTTTGATAAAAACCAGAAAATGGTAGAAATCGAACGCAAAGTCCCTGGCGCAGAATGTTTGTGTCGTTCTCTAAAGTGCAATCGTATTGCACTTTAGAGAACTTGAAGCAATCCCACTCCAGTAAAACGTTCTAGCGTACTAATAATTTTAACAAAAGATCTATCTTTTCCTTCGTCAATAACTCCAACCATTGACGAACAACACGAGACTACCATGGCAATAAATACCTCCGTACTTGACCACTGAGTGTTAATCAAGGTAAAAGCAATGTTGGGTAATAAAAAAAATGAAATTCTTGGATCACGTTTGTATTCTCTGTTTCTTTAAAAGCATCAACCTCCCCACCTTCATGATATCGCGAACAATAGACAAACCGGCTCCAAGATGTGCTTAATCCGATTCTTTTTCGTTATACCTTCATTGAGATTCCGGCCAAACACAAGCTTGTTACACGGTGTGATTTGGTGTGCAGAGATAAAGAGAGAGACAAATAGAGAGAGAGAAAAGGGGGGGGAGGAAAGAAGAACAAATGTTCGATCGCTAAAAAAAGTTCCCTTGAAAGATCCTTACATTGGTGCACTTATCTTAAATCGATATAAACACAGCATAATATTCAAATGAAACATTTTTTTTAAAGTTAGGTTCACCTTTTTCAAGGCCCGAAGCCACTCAAGGTAGAGGCTTATTTTAGGAGGCAGTTTGTACGGATAGGGGTGGGTGGAAGATAAAGGTTAAACCTAGACTTGAACAGGTTAAGATTGTAGTGATCGAGGAACCTGCGAACCACAAAGCAGTGGTTCGCGAAAGAAGCTGTTCCACTGAAACTTACTTCTTAGTCTTGGGTATGATGATAAACTACATCCGGCAGCAAGGACTCTGATCGAGAAATTGGAGATTTTGAGGAGCGTTGAACCATCTCTGAATTGCTGTTGTTTCCAGTTCCACCCTGACCCGAGGTGGTAGAACTTGTTAGGGTCCCAGCTATGGGTAAAATAATGTTTTGATTTTTGTTTGGTGGTTCACTAAGAAAGTACAAAAATACATTATGGTAAAAATACCAGCAATATATTTATATAAAAAATGACCAATAGTAATACATTTTTATACCAAAATGACAATCAGTACGGCACTAAAGTATAAAAAATACATTTTTATCTTAAAATTTACCAGAAATACAGTTTATCATCTAAAAACTATATATAAAAAATATACGTTTTCTCTGAAAGTATAAAATTATGCGAATAATATCTGTAGTTGAAAGCATAAAATTACGTACAAAATATTTAGATGCCGGTATTAAATAACCCATAGATGTGTTAATATGCCAGTAAACAACCAAACCTAAGACACCTAGGAACTTATTTCTCGATGGAATGCACAAAGAATGTGGTTGCTTTGCTAAAATGTAAGTGGCATGGTGGGTCCTTGCCGTGAAGGTTACAACTGGCAGAACTAAGGAATTTACTTCATCCGGGCACTTTCCGTGAAAGCAGCGAGAGGCTTGCCACATCTCGCCTGAGATAGAAAGAAGTTGTAGGTTTGAAAAATAATTCGTTGACGCTTTGAACTCTATTGATGCTGGTATGTATTTGAGGTTCTACTTGAGGTCAGGTGTGAATTCAAGGTCGAAAAGTCTCTCAAAGCACAGTGCCTTTTCGAAAAGACATCAGTTCATCGTGACTGGCGGTTGTTTGGGGTTTTAGTAAATAGATGGCAGCCGACACCCAGCCAAAACATTTCAGGAGATTAAATCGTTAGGTTGGTAAATTTGGATACAACTTACAAAGTGCCTGAGTACCTATCGATTTCTATTTCAATAGAATACTTTCTTCAGACGAAACCTTTAAATGAAGAAAAGTAATCCGTTCAGCATATGTAGCGAATTTGATCCTCACCAGGTGTCCCATTCTTAGTGAAGCTGAGATATATTTATTTATATATTTTATTTATAACATAATTTATAAAGCTTACGAACATATCACGTTGAAACCCCGGTTCCCGTACGATCACTGAAGTTAAGCAACGTCGAGCCTGTTTGGGTGACCACTTGGGAATACCAGATGCTGTAAGATTGGATGTGCAGCTGGTGTAATGGATAATAGCTCGGAATTGTTGATCGGAGAGCCGAGTTCCAACTCCAGTTTGGTTCATTATATTCACTTACGTGCAAATACCCTTGGGAAAGGTATGAATCCACCTCTTCCTCCAGCTATGGGTTAATGGTAAGAATTGTATCACTAAAACCATTATTGCCTAAGAAAAAAATTGTATGCAAAATATGAAAATTTCGACATTAAATAACCCATGGAAATTGCTATGCCACTAAAGAAAAACAACCAAGCAGCAAATAATTTTTATATATGCATATATATATATATATATATATATATATATATATATATATATATATATGTGTGTGTGTGTGTATGTGTGTGTGTGTGTGTGTGTTTTGTGCTTGAAAATTCAGAAATAGGTAAAATATATATATATTTAAATTTAAAATTTTCAGCGTCCCCATTCCTGCTCATATGTAGTTACATCAACGTAAACATTAATTTCATCCGATAAAATCTTAAAAGACGAAACGCGTTACACGAAAACGTTTTTTTCCATTTTACCATACTTTTCCCCTGTAAAGATAATATAGATAAAAGAAAAGACAAAACTTTTCTATACCAACGCGTTTTCGTCCCTTGCTTAACTTTATCAAAGTAAATGTAATTGTATCGAATCAATTGCTAGGTTTGCTGCTATGAACATTTGTTCCCTGTGTCGTGCTAGACAATTTTTATCGCCAGAATCTATCTTACATGTAAAAAATAAAAAAAAAACCATTCGCTGTCATATCTGATCTGGTACTCCTGTTATATATTTAGAGGTTCTTGATAAAATTCAAAGAAGAAGCTGTAATGTTATTGGTCCTTACCTGGCATCTCGGCTACAGTTATTTTCCCAACGCCGTAATGTAGCTTTCCTGTACCTTTTCTATAAATACTTTCATGATAATTGTTCTTATGAACTTTCCTTTATGATACCTAGACTTTATGAATTTAAGCACAGTACTAGATTATCAGCAAGGTCTTATCATTTAGAGTTGAAATGGCTAAATGTAGCTGTTTTAAAAATTGGTTATATGTAATTGTAACGGTTCATCTGCGAAACATATAAAAGAAGATTTACAAACATAGATTCCCCCAACCAATTACACGTACACACCGACAGAGATAGATAGATAGATAGATAGATAGATAGATAGATAGATAGATAGATAGATAGATAGAAACCAGGTTACGCAAGCAGATAAGAAACCATAATATATACTTAAAAACCAGGTTACACAAGCAGATGAGATGCCCTAATAGATAGATAGATAGATAGATAGATAGATAGATAGATAGAAACTAGGTTGTGGAAGCAGATAAAAAACCATCATGTGTGCATAAATGTTATGGTCCGGTCCTTGTACCACGATGATAGTCCAAGGTAGAACCAATAAAAAAGAACTCGAATACGGATATGGAATAACACAGATATATTACAAACAGGAATATATACAGAGAAATAGAAAGTATTAGTACGAACAATCAGGTTTAGTAGTAATTGTCTGAACACGACTCTGTTTCGGACTGCCTCTGACTTGACTGACTGACTCGCTCTGACTGACTTCTGAGGAACTCCCTGCTTCCTCTTGAGGCGCAGTATTTATTACGTATGGAATAGTCCATTATGTTATTGTGTGTAAGGTCCCATAACAATAAAAAAAATAGGTTACGCAAGCGGATGAAATAGATAGCTAGAAACAAGGTTACACAAACAGATAAGATACGATGATATAGAGACATCAGTGATTAGGATAGAAACATGGAAACTAGGTTACATAAGCAGAAAAGATTTCATGATAGATAACCAACAGAGATTAGGATAGATAGATAGATAGATAGATAGATAGATAGATAGATAGATAGATAGATAGATAGAAACCATATTACGGAAGCAGATAAGATAAATAACCGATAGACATCAGTGATTAAGAGATAGAAACCATGTTAAACTAGAAGATACCATGATAGATAGATGTACATAGGTAAATAGATAGAAACAAGGTTATTGACGCAGATAAGGAACCATAATAGATAGATAGATAGATAGATAGATAAAATCAGGTTTATCAAGCAGATAACATCATATGATGAATAGATAATTATATAGAAACCAGGTTACACAAGATACAACGGTAGATGGTTAGATAGACAGATAGATATAAACTATGTTACGTAAGCACATAAGGTACAATGATAGACAGATAAATAGATAGATACATGGATAGAAATCAGATCAGATACCATAATAGGTATTCATCAGATATTAGGTTAAACAGAAACCAGGTTGCACAAGCAGATAGATAGACAGATATTGAACAGACTGAGATAGATAGATAGATAGATAGATAGATAGATAGATAGATAGATAATAAAAACCAGGTTGTAAAAGAAGATACCATGATAGAAACCAGGTTAAACAAGCAGATGCCATGATACATAGAAAGAAAGAATGAATGAATGAATGAAAAAATTGGGCTTACACAAGCAGATACCATGATAGATAGATGATGCATAGCTCCTGGTTGAGGTGATCGTGGTAACAACGTCGATTCACTCATATATTGTATCTCTCTCTCTCTCTCTCTCTCTCTCTATCTCTATCTCTCTCTCTCTCTCTCTCGTCTTCTCCCGTCCGGGTGGCGAAATATTTTTGGGTCCTGGGATGAAAGACATCAACAAAGATAATTTGAGCTTTTCTATTTTTATTAATGTCGTCGACGTTTACAATTCCTACTTATCCAGTGGGGCCCGCTCTCTCCAACTGAGGAGCCGTTTTTGACATAAAAGGAAATACGTCTGCATTGTTTGACGTTTAAAAAACTCACCGAAAACCCTTTCTCTGTGTGACGCCACTTGGTCCAGGGTCGAATCCTTTGGTCACGGCGCCAACTGTGACGTCGCTCCTCCTGGTCGCTCTTCGCTGTTCCAAGTGTGACGTTCCAACCCCTTGGTTAGATGATTACCAGCCTCGCCTTTCCCAACTCGCTTCCAACACCTGGTTACTAGAGTAACTGTACTGATCTCCGGTCTGCCTACCCACGTTGTGATTAGATCTTAGACAGACGGGATCAAACAGGGATTGGGGCCGTATGCAAGTTGAGTTCGACGGGGTTGGCAAAACACAAGTAAAAGAAAAAACTCACGAGGCCAAAAATTACTGATAAAAAAAGGGTAACAACCTTTTATATCTAATGTTCGTTACATAAAAATTGTTCTTACTTCCCGACCCGCTTTGTGGACTGTGGCACCAAGCTTCTATCATACAACTTAAAGACTTCGAGTTGCCTACTCTCTAGAATTTTGTATGTCGAAGTGTGGTTTAGTTTCGACACTGGGCGCTAATCTCTACCAGTCGTTCACGGCTGATTCTTCTCTTCGGCTTGAGTTTGGACGAGCTTATTTACTTCGGCTTGAGTTGGACGTATTTCTTCACTTCGATTTGGTTTGGACGAATTTCTGTTCTTGGGCTTGGTTTGATTTCAACTTCTTCTATGCATAACTGCAAGTAACTTCTTCTTCTTCCGTCCTGCAACTCTTCTCTCTGCCGTCTGAGGTGATCTGAGCTCTCTGTCGTCCGGGGCTGAACTCATCTGCTTGTTTGGCCTGCAACTTTACTGCTTGTCTGGCCTGCAGCTCTTCTCATCGACTTTCGGCTGCAGCTCCAACTCTTCTTAGGCTTTCGGGCAATCTTCTTCACTTCGACCTGGGCTGGAAGAATTTCTTGTCTTAGGATTCTCTTGCCCGCAAAGGGGCGAATGAACCGGGCCCGATGCCCGCGTTCAAGCTCCCTCGCTGCCCGCGGTCCAGCTGCAACTGATTTCTGTCGACTGGAGTCCTGCTTATATTGACGCCGCAACAAACTGGGGTGGGTCTGTCGGCGTCAGGGTTTTCTCGATAATTCAAAAAGTCGCATTATTTCTGATTTCCCATTATCGCTCTTATTTTCACCCCTACTTCCTCCACGGTGTCTCTGGGGAGGCGCATACCCATCTCTCCCGGTCTCTCGTATGTCAGGTGACCGTTTTCGACCAATGGGTCTTGGTCGAGCGTCCTTTCTCCTCTTTCTCGCATATCACGTGACCGCTTTCGGCTAATGAGATTCTGGTTGGGCGTCTCCCGTACTTCGTGACGTCTCCAATCGGGCGTGGCTTATCCCGTCTTTGTTCTGGGAAAGAACACCTTGCTAAAAAAAAAACAAAATCTAATTTGGCCTTTTCGCACGCACGAAAAATGACAATCTCGGCCTTTTCTCACCTTTCTGGCTTTTTGTCAAAACAGCCCGCCGCTAATTAGATGTGACTTCAGGAAGAATTTTTTCGTCTCGCTGGCGCTTTCTGTGAGCCAAAAACAATTCACCTCTTTGTTTTTGCTCAGACCTGATAGTCAAAAAATCTTAATTATCTGAATTGAAAATGTCTTCACTTCATCATCGTGGGGTTCTAATTTTTAACAGGTCAGAATCTGTATACAATTCCAGCGGTCACCTTCTCATCCCAAAAGACACCCTTCTCCGATTAATATTTCGTTTTCCATTGTTCTAAAATCCCATTTCTCCAAATTGATAATGAATCTTCTACACAAAAAGTAGGCCAGATGCTTTGACCGACATTTTATCAATCGTACATATGTTCATACACTTTTTACCAAGTCTGTTTTCTTTCTTTCTTTTAATTACCTTTAATTCTATTCTTCTAAATAACAATTTCCATTGTCCTTTGAAATTCGGTCAGGCGCGTTGGCCTAAATACCTCTTGACACCTGTTTTCGCTAATGACCGGCCTTTTGCATTACTCATCCTCTCCCTTTCTTTTCCTCTTTCTCTTTTTCTTTTTCCCTTCTTTTTTTTCCCCCTTAGGATCGCCTAAGTACAATTAGAGAATTATTCTCGAAACTCAATTATTCTTCGTCTAAAAAACTAACAACTGGTTAATAAACCGAATAAAAAAATTAAATCATATTTCTATGAA